TTCCCTTGAGAATTTATGAATATGAGTTAACAAATCTTTAGCCATCCACTAGGGGGCAATCTGACTCCCACTGCTAGTCGACAGTTAGAGCAGAGTTGGCTCGAGTCAGTGTTGCCAAGTCCGCGGTTTTCCCGCGGAATTGGGCTACTTTAACACTTGCCGCGTTTTATAGTTTTGGGCTAGTTTTGAGTAGCAATTTGGCGGGTTTAACCTGGCAACCCTGGTCACGGTTATTGACAGTGTAAGATGATTTACGATTAGCCGTGTCGGAAATCCAACCACGGATTGGCATGTTGTTATCTCCGAAACAGGCTCAGCCATCACATTGAATCAGGTAAACTGGTTATATGTTTAGGTTTCAGTATAATTACGCACGCTACACCAGGGGCGGTTCTAAACCCTTTTTAAGTGGGTTTCAGCCCCCCTATCTGTCACCTTAGCCCCCCAAAACTATCTTAACGATCAGCCAGTGCTGCTTCCTTTTCAGCCCCCCTATCTGTCACCTTAGCCCCCCAAAACTATCTTAACGATCAGGCCAGTGCTGCTTCCTCGAGAAAGTTTTTCATTCTCACGTGTTTTAAGTCTCGTCAGTTTAAACATTAAAGTAATTTTAAGCCATTTAAGCCCAAGACATCTCAATGCGGTACTCACGCACTGTGATAGAGCGTTTCTATGCGCACCGCTCACACACCTGAAGGGGGGTGTTGGATGTTGGGGGTGCGCGAGTGAAATTAGACAAACTTGGGGGGGCGCATGTCCTAAAAGGTTGAAAAACCCTGCTCTAAAGCAGTGCAGGCCTTGCCCCCTTTGCTGCCTTTTCCCGAGGGCGGGGTTTATCTGGGTTTGTGATGTCACGAACCCGGGAAGTAACTTGTTGTAGTCCCTACCAGCCGTTTTTGTAGGCATTAAAACTGCCAGAATTTTAAAAGACGATATCTCCGTTTGCATTGATCTTTCAGCTTCGTAACTTTGCAGATATTGTTTATGCTCAAACAGCAACATTACACACTAACTAACCTTAAAAAGTGAAATCGCAATGAACCACCCCTTTAACTAATGAAGCCCTAATGTAAAGTTTGACCGAACAATAAAGAATCAAAACACTTTTAAACAATATCTAGGGCACGTTTCAAAATAAATAGCCTATTAAGTCTAAATATTTACGTATTTGGCACTGTGATGAACACCATAGTGAATACAAAAATCTGAATGGCTATTTAAATCAATTAAACACTTTTGAAACAGAAAGTTGTTTTGTTTACGGGGTTTCTGGGGTAACAGCTGCATTATGTTTAGCGCCATTTGCTGTCAGAGAGTAAATGTGCTTTAATCCAGAGCTTCTCTCACGCGTTCCACCATGCGTTTCTCATCCGTGCTTGTTTACATCAGAGTGCGTATGCGTCTTAACGCAGCATACAGCGGTGTTGTGCATTATGACCGGTTGATGGGAAAAGTATTCTTAAAGTGCATTCAAAATTCTGAATCACTTATTATAAATAATTATTCTGTGTATTTTGAAGTGCCCATGATAACAATATCGTGCATATTCATTACCGTGATATAGCATTACTGAATACCGGCACATGTCTCTACCTTACTAACTACTTTTTACGAGCTAGCTAGGAGCTTTTTTACAGGGAAAACTCTTAATTAATAGTGAATATGTGTTCCCTATTCCAAAGTGTTACCATAAATATTATAAAGAAATATAAGTTGCATTATAAATGATTTTGTACTTAAATGTAGTCTTTCTATCACACAAATTAATAGCTTGGAGTTTAAGATATTTATAATAATCTTAAAATAAGGACTTGATTTCACTGATTTCAGGTTCATCAGAATTAAAATAATGCTTGTGGTTCATAACAAAGATATAAACACTAAATTTAGTTTTAAATAATTTTGCAATCTCTCTTAAATTGGCCATTTTTCAGCTATATCTTTGAAAGGACTCTGTTTAAATAAATTATGAATGACCAACATGTGAAGTTAGTAAAACTTATTGTATGTTTGTTGTCTTGTCTTAAAGTTTATTCCGATTGGTAAAAGGAGAGAATAGTATTTTTCTATTGGTTTTTAGCAGTATTATGTATCCTACAGGCTAAAGGTGCAAATATTCATTGGTCACATGTTTGTTTGTGTTTTGTTGTGATGGCACAACCATGAAGAATTTATGGCTTATATTTTGGGCAAGATATTCTAAGGTCTGAAATTTTGAATATGTTAGTTATTCATTAAGTTCAAGCACAATCTGATTTGTAAGGATGACCACTTTAATTGAGTTAAAGCCAATGTTAGGCACCAATCCAGTCACATTTTTTCCTATTTATATTTTGAGCCCATGAAGTGGGTTTGAATAGTTTGTTGTTATTGACAGCTTGTTGCCCTTCAGGGAGCTGCTCCAGAGATGGCTGCTGGTTTGGGAGTTGTACCGCCCCACCTTCCACCTAAAGCTCCAAGGGTAAAGATGCACTATCATGCATGTTTTCATCATACATCGTAATCGTAACTTTATAGAGACTTATGAATAATATGAATAATGTATGGCGTTTGTGTCCACAGCTAACAGACCCATTTGCACCACCACCAAAAGTCAGTAATGTAAGTTTAATCTTTTGCTTTGTACTTGATTTATTTTAGTTGTTGACCTCTAAATGACTTTTCTAACTTTATTTGGATGATCTCTTTACAGAAGCCTGGAAAATGGTGTGCTATGCATGTCCGTGTTGCTTGGATGATTCTAAGGCATCAAGAAAAAGTCAAGGTTTTTGTGTTTATCTGTGTTTATTTTTAGTTCTAATGCAAAAAGGCCAAAAATTGCAAAAATGGCTGAAATATTTCGTTTTTTTTTTTTTTTTTTTACTTTTAGAAGTGTTTTTAAATAAACGTGGCGTCAGTCCTTTTGACCACCTTTCTGTTGCTGTTTTCCTCAGCTAATGCATGCTGATCCACAAAAGCTGGACTTCCGTAATGACCTGTTGCCTCGACTCCCTGGCCCTGGTATTGGTGGACTTGGAGGCCTAGGACCACTTGGTGGTCCCCTTGCCCCAACTCCTGATCTTACAAGACCAGGAAGCCTGTTCACTGGTGGGTTATACTTACACTTATTTCTACAACCAATTTAGGAATTCTGCAGGCGATATAAGCCTGTGGTTGTTCTTAAAGGGGTCATATGATGCTGCTAAAAAGAACATTATTTTGTGTGTTATTGCTTTTAAGCTATTGAAGTGGGTTGTTTCTATCTAAATAACAGTTTTCAGGTACAAAACACTTTGACCGCACTACTGAAGGATTTTTACAGCACTACTGTGCTGCCGTACAAGGGCTATAAATTAGAAAGGCTTAAGGAGGATATAAAGCACAAACTTGGCTAAATGTCAACACTCAATGGTAGTCCATTTATGGGTGTTTTAAGTTTTTGTCTGAGTTGACCCATGTCTTCTCAGGTGGAGTCAATCCGTCCTCCACACCATTCATGCCTCCATCAACGCCCCATTCCTCTTTCCTCACCTCAGCAGCACATCTGGGTAAGAGAGGCATCAAAAGCCAATGTTACCCATGGCTGCTCTTGTTACTCAGTGCAGTTCTGTTCTTCAGGCTTGCTTCATTTGCTAGCTTTGTAGAGCATAATTTCCTCTGCGTTTAGCTGATTTTATCACTAATGGCCGGGTTTCGTGTTACAGACCCATATGTTCGTTCATCCTCCTACTCTTCTTTGGGAGCCCTGAGTTCTGGTGCCTTTGGAGGCCTAGGCAGCCCCACGATAGGTTTGTCATGCTAATTTGTTAATTAAGAATATGTATTAATTAATCGGCAGTTTTTGTGGTTTACTAGATTACGATTTAAAAAAAAATTAATTTTATTCACAACTTGGCATAACTTGAAAATGTATATTCATTTATAGAAGTGTCCAAGGGGTTATAAGATTTCATCAATTTACATGGCTTTTCCAGTTAAAAAGTTCATGGCTTTTCCAGTGGGATTCCTGGTTCTCAAAGAAAAAAAAGTTTTTCAATCCTTGATTTATCTTGATATATTTAGATTTTTAGTTGATTTGTCTTATATTAAATCGTTTAAGTCCTCTTTAGGCCCCATGTTTGCAGAGGCCCCCAGTTGAGAATCACTGCTCTAATTTGAATGTGTTGGTTTTCTAACATTTCCTAAGCATTTTAATTAAGGGTTGCAAAAGTTAATTTAAGTAGTATTTTATCAGTCACATTTACACTAATCAAATGTTATACATTTTCTTTTAGTTGCCAATGTTTTTGGACATAAGGCCGAGCCCTCTGCAAGTGCAGTTGGAGGACTGGGTAACCCCCATGATCCATGGAATCGTCTGCATGTTACCCCTGCCTCTTTCCCCTCTGGATCGTCCTGGGCAAAAGGACCAGAGAAGAGAGATGATAGAGGAAAGGATGTGGAAAGAAGAGAACCCACTCATATAAAAGACGAAAAGGACAGGTATGACATTAAAACAAGTTGTTGTTATAAGGTAGTTTTCAAGTGGGCTTTTAAGATCAAAAGTAAATTATGTATTGCATCTCGCAACTTCACACATAACTTAATTGGTTTAATACTGTTTCACACAGAGACAGTCTCTTGTATGGACGCCAGCCAGTGCGAATGTCACCTGGTGTCCCATCCCTCAAGCATCGCAGCAGCACCCCCAGTTCACATCTAAATGGCTTGGGCCCACTGAACGGAGGTGGAGTTCAGTCAGATGGCCAAAGCAGAGAGCGTGAAAGAGAAAGAGAACGGGAGTCAGACAAGAGACAACATTCTGCATCCAGGGCGCCAGTGTCAGCTTCCTCTGCAGCACCAGACAGACCTCGATCTTCAACATCGTCTATTCTCACAACCTCTCCTTCTAACGTCCCCTTAGCCCCCTCTCCTCTGGATCTGTTTCACCGACAGCCACCGCACACACTCAGCACAGAATCCAGCCATTCTTCGCAACGAGAGAAAAATGGTCCAGCCTCTTCTAGTTCACTTCCAGTCAAGAAACCTGATCGTACCACAACTCCGGTATCCAAACCTGCACTTGGTCTAACCTCTGAGTTGCTCCTCCCCCAAGTCAAGGTCAAAGAAGAGCGTAAAGAGGAGCCTGAGCCAGTGCCCATCTCTTTACTGCATTCCGCCGTGCCTTCACACAATTTTGAACGGCCTAATAGTCGGCACCCACACCATCCATCCACTCCTTCCTCAACCCTCTCATTGACACCTACACCTGGCGTGCCTCTTCCTCCACCAACTCCGCACCCTCCACACCATCCTCTGTCCTTCTTAGATCGTCCACGGTGTATTGATCCCTATCTTGGTGGTGCTGGAGGCTCAGCCGGACTGGTATTAGGTGCTGCAGTTGATCGTTTCCCACCACATCCACATGGTCCTCCACAAGGTCATTCCCAAGCCACTCACTTTCCCTGGGACCCTTGGAGGGATCTGGCCGCTCAACAGCAGCAACGCAGGGAAGTATTGGCTCTGAGGTCAGATCCCCACCTTGCACTTCGCTCTGATCCACACTTGTCTAGACTTCTCCAGCATCAGCAGGTACAGCGTTATTTGGAGGCCGAGAGAGCTGCAGTAGCGGCAGCTGTGGCAACCAGCCCACACCATCCACCTGCACCTACCTCTACGTCCTCAGTAGGCAGGCCAGAGTTCGGTTTGATGTGCCACCCGTTCGATGAGGAACAACGTGCTCAGTTACTGCGGGAAGACTTGGAGAGAGCACGGTACTTTGGGATGCATTCACATCCGCACCTATCCGCACCTCACCTTCCTAGCCTATCTCATGCTGCCCACCTAGAACAGCTTCACGCAGGGCTACTATCCCACTCTCACCTCCAACCAGCTGGAGCCTCTGCACAAGCATCACATCACCCTGGCCTCTACTCTAGACTGGGACCTCTGCATTCACACTCTCACATGCCTAATGGCATTCTAGCCAAGGCACCAGGTCTAGTTGGGGCATTGTCTGTTGGGGCTCCACCACCTCTAATTCCGTCTGTGAACAGATCTACTCCACCCCGTGGCCCCAGACTTGGTGGAGCAGGAGACTTGGCCCTTTTCACCACACATAAAGACGGCGAGTCCAGATAGTACTAGTTAAAGCTCGAGCAGCTTCCAGAACTGCTGTGCTGAAGAAACTGCTCGTTAAATGGCAAGATTTTGCAGGACACTCAAAAAGAGCTAAGCTTCAGTGACCATACACAAGTGTTGAAACAACCTGGGGAGCGAACAGAGACACTTGCCAGGGCTGTTTTTATATATTTATCCACTGTGGTTAAGTTGGTGCAATTAAGGTACTCTCTTGCTGTGCCCGGGTTTTTATGTAGGGTTTTCTTTACAAAGAGGCCTGTGGATGTTCAAAGACTATTCATTACTACTAATATGAAGACAGGTTGTGTTGAAGAGTGATTGATAAAAAATTGTGAACTTGTTTGTTTTGGTGAACTTAAGGAAAACCTACTGTAGAGTTATGGTCCTCAGCTTTGCATTTGAGTAAAGAGAAATTGGACCCTTGACAAAGTAGTTGAGTACTTCTCATTGTCTGAATCAGCACTGTTGGGAAATGTATGAATTAAAAGAAACACATGGTCCACATTCTGCTTTAAATATTCAAGTCATCCATCAGACAACTTCCATGAACATCAGAATGAACTTCTTAAGATTTATTTTATTCTTTAAAAAAAAAGTTATGAACTGTACATCTTGTTGAATAATATTTTAAAATTCAAAGGGAAAGAACTGTCTCCCATTCATTAGTCTGACTCAGTACAAGAGCTGGGCCAGAATATAGTAGAATAGTGATATTGCTTTTGTAATAATTATTGTTAACATTAATTACCTTCCATAATAAATATATTCACTGTTTATGTTATAATGTCATGTTTCAGGTCTCACCAAATGCACTCACTTGTTGAAACGAGTCAGTAATTATTATTGTCCAGCAAAGCACTACAGTGATATTGGTCCAAAATACTGGTTTATGTTAAAGCCTGTGTACAGAGGATGTATCAAAGCCAGCCTCTACGGTTCAGAGAACTGTATATCATCATAATTTGGGAGAAGTGTGTGTGGTATGTCTATGTTCTCCACAGTTGAAGCCTTTGGAAGTCTCCAACAGCCATCACCCAAACACACTCGGAGCGAAACGAGGCATCTGTCGACTGGACAAAAGGAGTGCAGGTCTTGTACTTGCAGCTAAACTATAGGATTAGAAAGACTCTTGAGATACAGTGCATTCTGGATTAATTATTTGAGCAAAACAATTTTATACATTTTAAATATGTCCCCCTCCCCTTGAAAAGAAAACCACAATGATTATTAAAAATGGTTGGTTATTTACATGTGTGGTAGTGTATTGATTCATTGTGTAGATATAAATGGTGTGTTATTGTCACCTAATTTCAGGGATATCTATCTAGACTTATATCAGGACTTAGCCTATTTTATTTTAATTTAAGTGATCCATGTGCACCAAACATCTTAGACTTAATCGTTACAACCATGAGATCAAAAATTGTATCTAGGCTCATAAACATCTATCAAGACATTTGATATTATCTGGAGATGGAAAAAAAAAATCTTAAATTTGATCTAAAATTCATTAATTATATCATATCAGTAATTTGTACCTTGTCAAACTGCTGGCAGCTAAGTTACACAGTGAGAGATATTCTTTTAAAAAATAGTTTAAATTATTATTATTTTTTTTACATATAATCTAAAGTTACGTGCAAACAAGTCGTGGTTCTGTTTGATATTTACATGTAATAAATAAAAAAACAAGGCGATTTTCCAGTAACGGCTGAGATGTGTGCAGCAGAAGCCTGCAGTGAGTGCAGCGCGCGCTGAAGCACGTCTCGCGAGATGTCTGTTCTTGGTCAGCAGTCGCTCGTTCCTCCATTTCGCTGCGTCGAAAGTCTCCTCCCCACAACCGGTAGATTCAGCGATTCCGGACCCAGTCTCTCTCGGAGCGGTCTTTAACTTGATCCTACGAACCTGCCAGTACCTCACTGGGTACCGAGAGACAGTTTGGAGTAGTCTCAACACGGATTGAGTACGATTTGAAGCGGATGTCGACTCCTTCAGCAAGAATTTAGTAAAAGAAAAGTGCTCGGAAATTTCAGGTAGGTGGGAACTTAAGATGGCGGTGGTGAGAGGAGGGGGGTGCTGGGGAGGAAGTGATGGGAGGGGGAGGAGGAGGAGTGGGGGAAAGGGGGTCACTGTGGGGAGATTGGGACATGGCGGGACAAGTTGACTTTCAAGCATAGACTGTATAAAAACAGCTTTCAAGCAGTCGGGGCGAAGTATTCATCGGTTTTGTAATGTAATTAACAGTAAGGCCTTTTTGAGCTGACTCGATTGGATCAACAGCCCATTCATGTTAGTTATCTACTTTTAATGCAACTGCACCAAAAACCTTAGCAAATTTGAAGGGTTCCGATTATTTAGCACTGCACACTTTTGAGACCGCGAGCTGAAAACGAAACTCGTCTGTCACTGCAAGTGCAACAGCAACCAAGTTAGCCTATAATTTTGTGCGTTACTTTATCCTCAAGTGTGTTTAATGTGTCCTTATTGAGTGGATTTTCATATAACATTTCAAATAAACCAACGTATTACTAAAATCCTGACGATTCCGCTAATCTAGAATATAGTACAACATAACAGACTGTAGAATTGTTGAATGTAGTGATGGAAAGTCCAACTCATTTTTGTGTGTCGGTTCTTTCGAACCAAAAACTGGTTTAGGAACCGATTCAGTCATTCTTTGTCATCCAGTGGTCCCTGAAATCTCCTCTTGGCATATTTCATGCTTTAAAACTTCTCCAAAGTTATATGTAGGCACACATTGCTGTTTATTACCTTATATTAATAAGTTTGTTTATTGTAATTTTATGTAGCCTAATTTATAATGTCAAGGCATTTGGAGCCCAAATATAAATAGCGTACATCAGTACTAAAATACACTACATATGTCTTGTCAAGTTTACAAAGTTTATAATTTAATATAAAAGAACAACTGTTTCGTATACTTTCATTTTGAAAAGATTCGACTCAAGAGATTGCGAATCTTTTTTTCTTTTTTTTTAAGAGATTGCGAATCGGCTTCGCGTGACCCTGCGCGGTGACGTCAAGAGGTCGTTCCAGTAATGGGTGTATAAGAAAATGACCAGTAATACGTTTATGTTTAGAAATCTCCTCTTGGCATATTTCATGCTTTAAAACTTCTCCAAAATTATATGTAGGCACACATTGCTGTTTATTACCCTTTTTATTACCTTATATTAATAAGTTTGTTTATTGTAATTTTATGTAGCCTAATTTATAATGTCAAGGCATTTGGAGCCCAAATATAAATAGCATACATCAGTACTAAAATACACTACATATGTCTTGTCAAGTTTACAAAGTTTATAATTTAATATAAAAGAACAACTGTTTCGTATACTTTCATTTTGAAAAGATTCGACTCAAGAGATTGCGAATCTTTTTTTCTTTTTTTTTTAAGAGATTGCGAATCGGCTTCGCGTGACCCTGCGCGGTGACGTCAAGAGGTCGTTCCAGTAATGGGTGTATAAGAAAATGACCAGTAATACGTTTATGTTTAGTGACAAGTCTTTAAAACCCATCGATATGGATTATGATGAATCATAGTTTGTTCTTGAGCATTGCATAACTTCTCACGGAAGCCGATGTGAGCACGCGCGCTCTTAGCCCGAGCAGTGTGTTCAGCGCGCGCGTGAGAGCTCGAGACGGTGTGTGTATTTATAACGTTATATATCTCAATGTGTTTGAGTCAGAAGATAATATAATAACAGACGCCCTCTCACGTATTATTACACAAAACAGTTTAGGACTGTAGCTCCCTGTCATTTAAACGCCAACAACAAAAATGAAACGTTATCGTGTCGGCTCCATTGTAACGTGTGTGAATTAGCTTTGCTAGCCTGCTAAAGGCCCATGTGTGTTCACCCGCATCATGCATACAAAACTGCCGGCTACATTTGTTATCCGTATTCGGTATTAAACGTTAACCGCTATCCTATCTTCTTAAGTTTATAAGCAGTCGTAGGAGAATAACGAATCAGTGATAACTCATCGCTAAATGCTAGCCGAACGTGAAGCACCTGCACTAATGTACTGAATGAGACGGTTTGCCCGGGTATACAACAAAATTTGTATTTTTAACAGTTGATGTTAAGGTGATGTGTGTGTGTTAAAAGTTGTGTGCAGTTAATATTACAGTTAAAAATGACAATACCTTATTTCCTTTAGTATGTGCTCTATATATTTCTGTAGTATAGAAGCCGGCTGTTTGAAGGAATTAATAATAACTGTACATTCTTATGAATTTCTTATATTGCTAAACGAGAGTTTTGTCCGTAAATTTGTAGATTAAGTCAATGAGAAATGCTCTTTTTACCTGTGTTAGCTCTGAATTGTTAGGCTGCTCTTGCATTTTAACCACTGACTCCATAGAGCAGATGGGTTTTGAGGAAATTATTTATTCAACTATACTTTGTGTTCTAGGAAAGCAATCTTTTTCTCTTTCATATGTCGGATTATGCGCTTGCTGTTTCTTCAGGATTTTAGGCTTGATTTTACAAATAATTTTATCTTTAGACCCTCAGATGCAGTGGTACCCTTGATCTCAGCATCCTGGAAGTGGAAATCACGGAAGAGACTGGTGCTTCATCACATACAGGTATTTATTTAGTTCATTTCTTTTAAGTTATATGTAGACCTACTCATCTGCGGCTGTAGTACAGTTAGACAATTTCTGTGGAATTGGAATGTTTGTCACTCATAAAATTTTTAAACTTCCACCCCTTGCTTGTCCATTTATTAAGTAGCTTGGCTAATTCTGTAATGCTTTCAGGTGCCAGTTAAAGTGCTGTTGTATCAGCTCAGATGTTTAAATACTTCCTGAAATAATTCTTTTGAAATTCAGCACAGAAAATAAAAAATGCCAGCAGATCTTTTTGTTTATATGTTTATCTCAACATATGTGTGTCATGAATTTGTACATTTTGTAAAGGGTTAGTCATGCCGCATCTCCCTTCCATTCTTTCAGGTTTAGTGTGTAGCAGTGCCGGTTCTAAAGCAGGACAGTCTGGGGAAGAGGCGGTGCAGCAGCGCACCTGTCCAGCAGTGGCTGTGCTGGGTGGCACCTCCGCGGCTGCGCAGAATGTGGCCAGGCCACCCCAGCATGCCCTGCAGCCAGTCGCAGCTGCCACTCTACCACCATCATCGGTTGACGTTGCCACTGCATTGCAGCAGAAAGGAGGCTCAAAGGCTGCATTTAAAGAACAGACCATCGCTCACGTTCAAAGAAACAGCGGCACAGAGGAATCAGAGGAGATATCATCTGTCCAAAGAGGACTGGTGTCAGCTACTGCTGAAGACACACAAAAACTTACAGACACGTTGGAGGGTCGGACTCCCTCAGACAGACTTTTTGAAAGTGGGACGGATAGCATTACGCAAAAACAGGATTTGCTTTACAGGTGTAACAAAGAGCAAACAAGTCTTGCATACAGGGAGACCGATATGGCGGAAGGATCCAGCACAGGCCACTGCCAAGATTGGAGCCAACACCCTGGAGATGCAGGGGGTGTCTCTGCCCCTGTTGAGACAGAAAAGGGACCCTTGCCTCCAGAGACAATCAAATTGGACTATAAGAACATGTCTGGAAAGCACACACCTGGAGAAAGCCCCTTTGTTCCAACAACAGAAGTCATCCCAGCAGTCTCTAGTGCAGTTAAGACAACAGACAAAGACATGGAGCAGCCCCAAACAACTCCCCTTTTTCAGACAAATCAAACTGCCACATCATCTGCGTTTGGCATCCCACAGAAACAAAGTACAACCAATTCAGCGAAGCAGGATTGTAAACTTGACTCTAAGGCGGCTATGGAAGTTGTCGCACAAGATCTGCCTAAAACAGACAAAGAAGGTGCAGTTAGTCCAATTAGACAAACCTTGGGAACAAAACAAGGTAATAGTGGAAATTCCCTTTGCTCAGGATATTCATCATCAAAACAAGGAGGGGAGCACATTACCCCTGACAGTGGAAATAGCATGCCAAATGACTCCGATAAGGGCAGCTGTTATTCCCCAGAGGACTGCAGTAAAACACAAAAGGCTACACAAAAGACAAAAACACCTGGCATGCCCACCCCGCCTGAGAATACACAGTGTGTGCAAGAGCTATGCTCTCAGTATGTACGTTTAAGTGAAACCCCCAAAATGTTTCATTTGGGTAAGGGGACTAGTGCAAGGGAGGGGCAAGGAAACGAGAAATTCCCTGTAGATGGAGATCTGTGTTTTAATGCGGCTGCTAAAGAAGTATTTCGCAACATTTCTGTTGATGAACCAAAGCTGACTGGGCATGGGACATGCACTGACAATGTACAGGTCCCCATTGTGAACGAAAGGTCACAAGTCATGGTTTGCGGCTCTTCTGATGTGGTTTTGAAGCAGAATGACAGTGCCAATCGAATACAAATATCCATGTCCTCAAATCACCAACAGGATGGGAGCGTGCTGCTCGCACACACAGGGAACTGTGAGACTTTAGAGGGGCTAGAATCAGATCAGTCAAATCTTTCTGACTGTATGGTCCAACATGTACAAGAGTTCATTCCAACTGATCATAAACTCTCACAGATTCAGATATGCCTGAATGATACTCCAGATATCGTGAATGTGGAAGAGAGGCAGGAAGTGAGTGCAGAGGCTCTCGATGCTGTTGAGGTGAAAGATTTGATCGATGTAGGTATTTTAATGCAGCCAGATATGAAGGATACCTGGCTGGTTGTAAGTGAGATAGACGGGCAGTCTGAGCATGCAGAGATGGAGGTCAGCGAGGAGTCTCTTGTGCAGTGCCCTGAATCCCAGTCAACTGTTGCTGTATATGAATGCACTGTGCCCTGCTTTACATCAGCTGCCCTTCACAGTGAAGTTAAGCTGCTGATAACTGACAAAGAAGAGGAGGGACCAATGGAAACATTGATGCAAGACTCACAAGCCCAGAGTAATCTAGGGAATCAGACCTCATCTCATCCTGATGCACTCAAACCCACAGAAGAGTTACTTACCATGGCCTCTACGCAAAAAGAAGAATCTATAATTGTCAAGCAAAACGATGATTCAACTCACACTGATCTTGCAAACACGTTGACAGGGTTAACATCCACGGTGATGGATGTCACACTTGAGTCTGTGCGAGAGCAGCAAGAATCTGTTGTGGTGGAAAACACACCAGGTGTGTCATTAAGTCCATTGTCTTGTGGGACGATTGATCCAAAACTACTGATCCTAAAGAAGGGTGACAGCCCTGCCCTTAAGCAACCTTCTTCAATGTCTGCTAGGATCTCAACCAAGCAGAACTTACCTGTCCTGGCTGGATCGCCCAATGATGGATTAAATAAAGCTGCAGAGTGCCTTGCTAAAACTGAATCAGCTGTATCCTCCATCATAAAGGAGGATGTTATGTTATCTGCTGACCGCCCTATCTCAAACACTCTCTCTCAGTCCTCTCGGACTGTTTCCATTTCTAATGTACTTTCACAGAACAGCTCTGTGAAAGAAAACTTAAATAAATCAAACAGTTCTGGCAAGTTGCTTCAAAACGAATCCTCTGCTAGCGCTTCTTTGTCAACTTCAGTTCAACTCCCTAACTCAAAAAGCCGCCTTTCTCCTTCTGCTGGAGATGTGTGGGGTGCTGTATCCAGTGTTGTCCCAGATGGGAATCAGTGTAAACGTTCTTCGGGTGGTACACCATGCCAGGATTCAATGACTTTGGGGGGTGAACTGGAGTTGGAGCAGCAGCAGTTACCGGATGAACTTTTGTCAACAATGCAAGATGCTCAGAACTCCATCCTGGAGCCACTTGATGCTTCTATAGAAGAGAGCAGCGATGCAGAGGTTGACAGCTCTGTGGATGTCCAGAATGAGGACAGCAATGCTACGCCCAGTCCATCAGCGAACAAGGTAAACGCAACTAAACTATTAACTCGCCTATTATGACTTCAGCCATGCTAAAGCAGTGATTTCATATGTAATTTGTTGTAATTGATATAATAGTCATGATGAAAGCATCAGAGGTAGCCAGCAAAAGTGTATTTATAATTTAGATGTTTTTGAGCCTGTGTACTCTGTCCATAACCGTTTCAAAGCCACAATTTGATGCTAGTGCACTTCTTGGCTGTATATTGAGCCATGTGTGTTTTCCAGCGTGGACAGAGCAGGACAGACAAACAAGGCTTGTTATTGAAGGTAAGAGGTGTCAGGCATTCTTCAGATCTAATCATTGCAAGCTGATGCGATGATCCTGCTTCTTCCAACTAGTGGTTGACCGATATGGGTTTTGCACTGGCCAATTTAGAAAGTGGGGTACGCAATAAACTCCTGGTGGTATGTAGGCAAAGAAAATTTATTTTTAACAAATATGCAGCCATTAAAGTGAACACGTATTTCACCCAGTATTTAAATTCACAATAAGGGAATGTAAAAGTTGCATCCAAGCTGGCATGGTTTTTGGTCTATGCCAAAAATCTCTTAAGTGGCTTTTTATTGACCTGGAATATATATCGGTCTATCACTGCTTCAACTCACTAGCTTAAAAATATATTATTATGTCAGTATAAACTGACAGGAAAATAGAGCTGTATAAAACTGTTTTATCATTCAGAGTAGCATGTATTATTTAGAAATTAGGAGAGAGGTTATAAGATGTTTGCTCACCAAGATGTCCTTGTAGACCAGGCTGTTTTTATGAAGCTCTTTTATCTCTTCTTGGGCACTCTGTCTCTCCTTTTATACTCCATGCTGAATAATATTGTGCAGTCACGCAGTCAGATGCACTGTTTTATTTGTCTTTCCCAAGGTTTGCCAATGGATTGCAGGCAAGGTTACAGCAGGCTCTACCCCTTCCACCTCCCCCATTCCATGTCCATCTCCATCTCCCTCATCTGGTGACTGGATGCGTTCTCACACAGGCAGGACCTCACCTGTGCGTAACTCTCATGGCAAAAACATGCCCTCCACTTCCTCCCAGGGTTCTGGTGGCTGTTCTCAGTCAGAGCAGACAACCACCCCGAAATCCACACCAAAGCATACAGACATGGCAGAACTGGCAAAACATGTAAGAGAAGGACACATTTAATCTTTTACTTTCAGAAATAGTGTGATTTAATGGTTGTAATGGATGGTTATTCTTATTTTTTTTTGTAATACTTTAAACAGGAAGCAGAAATAGAACATCGTACCCTTGCACTAAAACGTGAAGGTTTCTGGTCCCTAAAACGTCTGTCTCGTATAACCGAACCAGTACGGCCCAAAGTGCATTGGGATTACCTCTGTGAGGAAATGCAGTGGCTTTCTGCAGATTTTGCACAAGAGAGGCGATGGAAAAGAGGAGTGGCCCGAAAGGTAAGCATTACATTCAGACTGTCCTATTGGAAACATGCTATTTGTATTTTATTTTTTTTAAATGTTAGGTCAATAGAGCATCTCACCAATCTTGACTCATTTTCAGGTAGTACGGATGGTGATGCGCCACCATGAGGAGCTAAGACAGAAGGAAGAGAGAGCGAAACGTGAGGAGCAGGCCAAACTGAGAAGAGTTGCTTCTTCTATTGCCAAGGAGGTCCGTGCCTTCTGGAGCAGTGTTGAGAAGGTGACTTTCGGTGGCTTTTTTTTTTGGTTGAAATTAGGGCTGCACGATAAATCGCATGCGATATTTAACGCGCATCTTGTCTTTATCCGCCTTCTCTATCTTTCTGTCGCTCGGCTAATGTCCGTCCTGTGCTGTGCACTTAACGCTCTCTCCTCCACATCATGAGTAGACACGACCCTTACTGCTGATTGGCTACAAGTTTGTTTTGCTAGTCGGCCCGAATCAGTTTTCTAAAGCGTTTTTGAAAAATCGCTTACACCACCTTTAAACTCTTTCCCACCCATTGCTGTACACAGGTGGTCCAGTATAAACAACAGTCCAGACTGGAAGAGAAGCGGAAGAAGGCTCTAGATCTCCAGCTTGATTTCATTGTGGGTCAGACAGAGCGTTACTCAGACATGTTAAGTCAGTCCCTGCAGGCTGCTCCTGTACACAGTTCCAACACTGCAGCTGTCTCCAAACAATCACAGCTAAATGCTGTTGATGAGGATGGTGAGGACCAACTTTTTTACTGTTGTTGTTCAGATCAAGAGTCTTGGAAGTGAATGAGCAAACGCCCCAGAAAGTATTTGGACACTTACACAACACAATATATGAATATCATTGATAAATAAATATCAAACCAAGTGGGATCTGCTAATAAATTATGCTAGATTAAATTTATTTAGTGGATGAATTCAGTTCACCACAGGGACCAGATAGAGTCCAAATGCATTCCTAATTTTATTGTTAAATTCAGAACCTAGCAAACATGTTTTTCCTTATATTAAGCTTGTGTTCTTTTTGGTTTGATGTCTAACTTAATAGTATTCATAGATTTTTTTTTTAAAGTCTTACTCAAGTGTCCAAATACTATGGGGCTATTTTGTATACATGCAGATTAGTGAATCAAATAATCTACTCTTGTGAGTGTTTCTGTGGCAATAGGGTTTGATATATTTTTGAACACATGATTCAGGAAGTTCTTGTTTTCACTTTGTGTTGACTTAGATTAGACGTCTAAATTTTCCCTTTTCTGCTGCAGATAGAGACTTTGAGCCACCTTGTGAGGAGGAAGATGATGAAGAGACCATAGAAGTAGAGGAGCAGCAAGAGGGGAATGATGCAGAGACACAGAGACGAGAGATAGAGTTACTAAGGGAGGAGGGCACTCTGCCTCTAGACCAGCTGCTCAGTACTTTAACTCTCCCCCAGGTACAGCAATCTTCCAGGATCAACTACAAAACAGTTGGTTTTACACAGCCATTATGTTACTGTCTGGACTATCCAATTAATGTGGTCCATCACTGTTCATATCAGATTGTTTCAGTATGGTATTTTTTTTTTTCCAGTTCTAACATTTAAATATGACTTATTTTTAATTGCGCAGGACGGTGAATCAGAAGAAGAAGCCTCAGATACTTCATCTTCTGCAGTTGAAGAGGAAGACAAAGAATTCAGTGCCAATGAAGAAGATGGTTAGTAGAGTTTTATTTAGATAGACACTTAACTTTGGAATCCTACCGATTTAAATGGAAATATACAACTTATGTTACTATATTCTTCTCTTCAGCGGAAGATGAAGAAGACACCATTGCAGCCCAGGAAGTTATTGAAGGAGATGGAGACCATGCAGAGGAACTTGTCATCACATTTTAGAGCTGTAACGACAATACCGTGAAACGGTGATATTTTTGCTTAAGGTTATCATACCGTCAAAATCTCATACCGGCCCATGTCTAATACAGGCACTGTACTAAAAATACATTCAATCAGTCATCGCTCCCAAAATGAATTCAACGGGTC